GGCGCTCGAAGAAACTAACCCTGACTACGCACCTCGCGCTATCAGTCAACCGAGATTCGAAGTACGGGACAAATCCACCTGCCACCTTGCGAACTCCCCGTGCCAAGGCAAGACCCTTAGCACGAGGAGTGGGGGGCAATTGATGAAGGAAGGTTTGGCTCGACCTCGTAATCACTCAACACGTGGCAAAGGCAAACAGCTCGGCACAACAGCACACCCAGAGTGCGAGCACCGAAGGGAGGAAACCAGCAGTCCGAACTCCCCACCAGCAATCCGAACAAGGAGACCGAACTCCCTACGAGGAGCCCGAACTCCCTACTAGGAGCCTGAACTCCCTACGAGAAGCTCGATCTCCCTACTAAGAGCCCGAACTCTCTCTTAGGCCCTAAGCCACACAAGGCAATGACCCGAACTGGCCCGCCTCATGGTAGTTTGGGACACTCCTCTATCCGAACTCAAGACTTCACCTCGCTCGCCACTCCAGCACTTCGCCTCCAGGACGCCGAACTGAACAAACGTACAATACCTGACACCGAGGAGGTCCGTATCCAAGGGCGGCACACCTGACTGACTTGGGATCTAACGCTTGACAGCCGCACTTCAACGGTCACTTGCCACCGCCACCTGCCACCGTCATCACCAGTCGTAGAGACGGCTCTGACAAAAGGGAGCAGTGACGGTTCTGTCCAGCAGAGGGGACGACACCCGAACTGGCAGGAGCCCAGAGGTAATCATACCCAACCTGACAGAAGCTTAGGAGTGAGTGCACGAGGTGGTTATAAAAGGCTCCCTACCCCCCAAGAACAAGGTATGTAAACTTTGTGCCATCTGGTTTTATCTTGCCTTTGAAAGAATTCTAACTTGAGATTCGGAGTATTCATACCGGGTTCCCCCGGAGCTTCCTCATCTTCTCTGTTTCAGGCTCCCTGTAGCTCCGTTCAGAGGCAAGATCGTTGACAGCTAGGACCAGCCGGATTGCACACCATCACAATCAATATACATAATTTGATAAAATTAAACTGGGAGCAATCAAGTCGATATTTCCTTGCTTATTAAATGAAGAAAAAGTCAATATTCTTTTAATATTTTATTATAAATTTGGACTTTTTTTTTGGTATTCTGTGCTATGCACCATTAAACCTCCCCTTAACCCCTTTTCTCCCTCAAGTGCTGATTGCGGGATTTGATTTCACGTCACTACTGGAATAAATCAACCGAACAAACCACTTCTTCGATTGGTTAAACATTGACTTTTAGGCTCAGTTTGGGAGGAGTACTGGTGCAAATATATACAAAATACAAGATTAAAGAATAATAGAGGGAAGAAGCTACATAAGTCAGGCAACTACTGATCAATCAGATAGAGAGATTGCCTGGCTCTGTGGTGTGTAGCAAACAGTTGGATCATAAGAACTGGGCCTATTGTTGTGTTGCTTGCAAATTTGGTGCCCACATTCACTGCGCCACCTCTGAGGCGCCTCGGCCGAGATTCATTCAGGCAACCAATGCTTCTGGCGGAGGTTTCGATCAACCTCAAGCGACACAGCAGGAAGACCCTGTTCTTAAAGCCCAACGAGAATTGCAGAATCTTCAGCTTCAAATGCAAATGATTACCGAACAATGGGCTAGAATGATGGCATCATGGAATCCTAGTTCTTTGATTTGAAATCGTGTAAATGTCTCCTTTGGTGGAATTGTTAATAACAAAGCTCTATCCGGATGATGGCATCATGTTTGCTTCTGTAACTTTTAGTAATAAAGCTTGATCCGGATCGGATATATGTTAGAGAACGGTCATCTAAAATTAATTTCAGCAATATTTCACTTATTGTCTCTGTTTTGTTTTATATATCGGTAATCGGTTGCAGAAATTAAAGAATGTCTATTCTCTTTATTTGGGAAGATAAATGAAGGGTAAAACTAGACTTCATTGATGTCTATTCAAATATCCAGAGAAATGTTCTCCCATCCTCTGCTTTTAGCAGTGGTTGTGTTATACGCTAAGTAGCCTCACCATGTCTTTCTAGCTAGCTGCTCAAATTGGCTCCGTATGGCAGATATGTTGAATTTTTTTTTTTTTATTAATATATAGTGGAAGCATGCAGCATACATTTGTGAAATTTTTCTTTGATCTACCTTCTTTTCTTAGGTTTCATTTGTTTCCATAAAAAACATTCTCAGAAATCATCATCATCATCATCATCATCATTTTGGGGGTTGAATATAGTGTAGCTAATGCCTGAACATGCTGAGTCGAGTCGCTGTTTTGAGCCAAGTTTCAACCCACAATTGAGTTCCGGCTGGCTGGAAACTTCCCTACCCCACACGGTTTTCGGTGAATGCATCACAGAGTACGAAGCTCGTTTAAGCTTAAAACGCCCATCCATTAAAGTCATCACCTCACGCTGAGTCGCTGACTTGACTTTTGTCCCTTCTCTATCTATCATGTACCAGTTCACAGCAGGCCGCTCTGTATTTTGTGACGTGGTGTACCCTTATATATAACCATTAAAACGAACGAAAGAGAGAAAGCAGGAGAAAAACATAGATAGAGATTTTAGACCGATAGAGTCTCAGAGAGAGAGAGAGAGAGAGAGGGAGAGAAGAGATGCCTTTTCAACATTTTGATCACCCCCATCTGTTGGATCTCCATGAGTTGCAGGAAGGAGAGAAAATCCAGTGCTCTGGTTGTGAATTACCCGGCGGCTCCGATTCCATGTATGGGTGCAATTCCTGCAACTACTTCCTCCACGAAAAATGCCTCAATCTCAAACGATGGATGGAACACCCGGCGCATCCAGAACACCCCCTCACCTTTCTTCCCAAACCCACGTATCCCAACGGTTCCTTCCGATGTAACGCTTGCGGTGATGATGGTAGTGCCTTCAGCTATTGCTGTGCTTTCTGTGAATTCGATCTCCACACTCACTGTGCTTCTTTGCCTCGGACCGTAGTCCATGAAGGCCACTCGCATCCTCTCACTCTCACTTTTAAACTTTCTGGAGCCGAGACAACTATTTTTACCTGTGATGTTTGCAACGGCAATGCCGACCTGCAATACTGGGTGTACAACTGTGACGACTGCAACTTCGGAACCCACTTAGGCTGTGTGGCTCATGCTCAGGAACCACCGCCATCGAATGGATCATCCAACGAGCTGGAACAGCTGCAGCAATCGATGAATCAGATGATGGAAACCCAGCTCGAGATGGCTAGGCTTCAAAATGAGATCACTAAGACCCAATTAATTGCAGCATCCATGCGGTGGGCTTACCGTTAATCCTTGCTTGAACCCTGTTTTCATTGAAATTAGCGGTTTCATATTTTAATTGTAAACAATAGGAATATTTCCCTTCCCTGTTGCTCTGTGAGGCTCCATCCTCCAATAATAAGACTTCGGATTTCAAGAATTTTAGTTTCAATCTATTGTTTTTTCTTAAATAATAATAGCTAGAGACCCGGATTAGTAATATCATTGCCTTGAAAAAGCTAGATGTATTACGCTCTGCTTAACAAGTTTCAATGGAAAGAAAAAAACTGATGAAAATATAAAAAGAGAAGAAAATTAAGGAAACACACGGACGCCTCTCTGAAAACCACATGATCGTGAAAGCCAACGTAACCTCTGCACAATGGACTGAGCAATCTATATATCATGAGTGATCACGCCAGTGTTTCTATGCGAACAGATCGTCTGTCCCTAGGGACAACCAACAATAATCAACCACGTTTCTCTTTTCTGTAAATTTCAAAATGAACGGAGTCCAAACCTTAACGTTAGCTGGACTCCAAAACTTATCAATTTTATTTTAACCGCCCCTTTGGGATCCCACTTCCCAAGTTTCTCTTCTCCATTTTCGTTCTACTTTCTCTACTCTCCCTCACCACGAAAGTTCCGCACCAACGTCATCGCACACTGCCATTGCAATCGAGCCACCGTCATTTGCTTGCGGCAACACCCGGAGTCTTTCTCGACCACCGCTCCGAGATCATCATAGGAGAACACTGCCTCTGCAAGCCGAGCTACAGGAGTTCGTCCGCTGCAAGCTTTTGGAATCATTCCACCGCTCATCGTCGACGTTCATTTCAGCAGTATTTTGGCTTAAAGTTATCTATCTATCTATATATATATATATATATATATATATATATATATATTCAAAATTTCTTCCTTTTTCCCTCTAACTTCTTGTCTGGAAAAATCTTGCACTGTAAAGTTGTTTTTTCTTCTAAAATTCCTCATAAATTAAATTATTTATAAACACAAGAATCTTCCATATATGGCATCTTTTTATAAATGGAAGAAGAAAGTTATATGACTCTCTCTCTATCTGATATATGAGTTGCAAGAACAACGGATGTGGACATTGGAGATGGTATTCCATGGCTTGCTAATAATACAGAGAAGCTGCCCCTAAAACTTGTAATTTGAAGCAGCAGAGGTGTGGTGAGGTTTTGCATTCGATCTTATTATCCCTGTTTCTTTCAAAAAGACTTCATTCAACTATGTCTGCTTCAATCTAACTCCCTCTTGGGACTTTTATCCAACAATTGAGATGAACTTTGAGGTCCAATATAATCATACCGATGTTAAGCAAATCTACAGAAACCAGAGGCACTGTAATAACAAGGTAATTTGTGTATATACATCACTCAATTGCTTTTCTTTACAATACCTGAATCCACGAAAATTTGTTAGTGGCATTGTGTATTAACAACCAAAAGGTCAACTCATCAGATATTTTTATCTTTATAGTGCCACTAGGTAATCTAGATATCGTTAAGCCTTAACAGGACAAAACATTGCTGAGTGTTTGTTTTTTTATTGAATGACAAAATTTTAAGCTAAGATTTTTTGAATTGGTTACTTATCTAATTAGTCAAAAATTTGTTTCCCTTTCCCATGTTTAATCCGCAAACTGCAATATGCCAACAACAACAAATATTCCAGGTTTTTAAATCATGTAGAACAGACAATAGAGCTTGTATTATTTGAAGAATAAATTTTAGAAACTAATGAATTCAGAACGGCATCTGTTTCGTTACCCTCTTTCATGGGGTGTTGAATTTTGTATTGACATGCATATTAAATGGTGTGTTGTATAGACACAAATAAAAAATAAAGAAGTGAAGCTCAAAACTCCAGGATTTGAAATTCTGAAATTAAAGAGAGGACGAGGTCTAGCAAGAGCAATTGGGATTATGTATGGCCTTCCTTCTGCTGATGTCTAGTTTAGAACAGAACACACAGAATCGGCCATGCCACCACCTATCCCTATCTTCCTCTTCATCATCGTCACAGTCACCTGTCATCTCCGTAAGCTCTTCTTCTATGGTCTCTTCCGCCTGGATCCTCCCATCATTACAATGAGCAAAAACCAATCCCAACAATGAAAGAATAATGAAAAGAAGCCAGTGATCTCCGACGAGGGGAATGAGCGGTGGTCAAGAAAGACTCCGGTTGTTTCTGCAGACGAATGATGGTGTCTCGATTGCAATGGCGATATGCGATGGTGTTGGTGCAGGCGAACTTCGGATGTGAGGGAGAGAGGGAGAGAGAGAGAGAGAGAGCACAACAAAAATGAAAATGAAGAAAAACTTGGAAAGTGGGATCCCAAAAAGGGTGGTTAAACCAAAATAAATAAGTTTTGGAGTCCAGCTGCCGTTAAGGTCTGGACTCCGTTAATTTAGAAATTTACAGGAAAGAGAGACGTGGTTGATTATTATTGGTAGGGACAGAAAAGTTTGTCCCTTAGGGACAGACGATTTCTATTCTGTTTCTATGCATCATGTGAAAATTTCTATGCCCCATGTATTAATTAAAAATATATATTTGTGTGTTCACTGCCCATATCCCAGCATCTATGATTTTTGTTTACAGCCATCCGACGAACAGTCAATCTGGTACTGGTAGTTTTCGTTCTAAACTGGTTCTCTTGCGACTAAGCGATGCCACCAAGGAATCTTCGGTGTTGACGACAGGATAGAGAATAAAAGCGCTTTGATGTGCTTACCATATCCGTTGGTAAACGATAGTCGTTTTTCCTTCTGAATATCTTGTATATATATATATATATWTTTTTTTTTTTGGTAGAAAGTTGATATTCTAATTAGAATATTTACAAGTCAATGCCGGTATTACAGAATACAGATGGATTTGATGAAATGCCATGTGGACTGACGCTAATTTCTCTTTGCGACAAGGATAAGTTGACGGCAATCCGCCTAAAAAATCTGAAATTATAACCCCCTCCCCTCCTATTTTATAAGTAATCAATCTCCTTTATCTCAAATTACAGCTCTTTTCGGACTGAACAATAAAAGCCCCGTTGTCTTTTAGATGAGCCAAGAGATCATTCAAAATCTCTCCCCTACCTATCGAATTGATCACAACAGTTTTCTCCATGAGTTATCTAACGCTAATTGGTATTGTATGGAAATTATTTTCAAGTTCTAGATTTCTGTGTTTTATTTGGATTGATTAGATTTTTGGGTTCGAGTTTGTTAAAATTATGATTCAATTTACCTGTCCGGATCAGGTTGGGCACAACGTTGTAGGCACGTCGAATGAAGACCTAGAAAACTTTTTAACACCTGACACTTAAAATACTCCCAGCCAACTCTTGAAAAATATTAAAAACCATTTTTCCAGTTGTGAATTGATCACAACACCTACTTAATTATATTGCATTAGATTTCTTTTAGGCTCTGTCTATTTCAATTTAAATTCAAAGAAACGTTTTTGGTGCTCAAATATTTTCTATAAACATTTAACAATCTCTAAATTGTGCATCGAAATTTGATGCTACTTCAGCATCTTATGAAACAATATGGTGTGGTCCAGTTTATAAATGCTACTTATTAGTTTTCGAAAAATCCAAGTAATTTTTTGAAAAAAGGTAGCCACTGTTCTACTAGCTATGCTACCAAAATAAAAGTTTTACAACCTGATAAGCCATTTTTTCCCAATAATAATTAGGGGTGGCGGGCAAATGGGTAGACTTTACCTTTACCTTTGAGGATATGAGAATTTAAACTCAACCAATCATGGTTACAAAGACTATAATCTCATTGGAATGCCATTAATGAGTCACTTAAATGATTTGCTTATTGTTCTTTAATTTAATATTTGAATATAATGTGTATTGTTGTTGTTGTTATTATTGAAAATCAAGTTTTTAAAGAATATGTCATTTTTTTCTTTCTGAGGGGTAAAAAAAGAATAGGTTTCACGGATAAACTCTATAATCAATCTTAGTAGGGTGAGTTCCAAATTCTGCCTTAGAATGGAACTGAAACAATTCATACTCACCCCTAGACTTAGCAAAAAGTTTACCCAACCCAACCCGAAAAAATAAGGTTAGGGTCTCATATTTAGTTGCCTGAATTTGAGAATGACTTGACCCGATCCAACCTAGAAAAAAACTGGGTTGGGTCATGGGTCAACCCTCTAATCCGATTGTCAAATCTAACTGGGACTATTTATGCATTGTTAGAAGTCTCCACTCTTTAATTTTTACTATTTAGTCTTATTCTTTATTATTTACTCTTTGAATTACTAAATATTCAAGTTTTTTTATTTTATATTTGGAATTTTAAGGTTAATTCCTTTAATTTTGGCATTTTCATGTATTTTTCTTTATTTTTTTAAACTTCAATTATTTTTGTGATGATCCAAAATGACCCATGGGTCAACCTTAAACCAAACACTTAGGATTAAGCTCTAGCATTGGACAACCCAATCCAATATTCAACTCGACCCGAAATCAACCAAAAGTATCTTAACCCAACCTAAACCTGACCCACCCAATTCAATTGCCAGGTCAACTCACCCCTAGTAATTACATCCCTGAATTTTATGGCATAGTTACAAGTAGATTCTCTCTAGTAGATTATTTTGAAAAGAAGTATAAAAATGTTCAAAATAACTATGTGGTACTTTTGACGAAAATGTTTATTACTCAAAATTTCTCTTCATATGAATCATTACTAATAGTAATTTTATGGGTATTTTAGATATTTTGGTAGCTATTGTCAGAGGATTTATTTGTAACTGTAGTCCAACAGAGGTGTGATTGCAATTACTAAACTTGATAGGAGATTTAAACAACTTACCCATAATATAATTTCCCGTCTTTCTGACAAACAGAACCACCACCTTTTAAAAAGCTTTTAAAAAGTAGTTATTTTTAACTTATATAAAAATTGAATATAAATATGGAATATCATATATAACATTTATAATAAGACAGATCAATGTGATTGACATATATAATGGCCACATCACTCTATCTTTTAAGTAATTCCATTCAATGACTTGATAAAACAAAGTCGTTTTTGCTTGTGAATATTTTAGTTAGAAATTTATCAGTCAATGGCCGTATAGGTGGATTTGGAATGGAATGGAACTCAAAGCAGGAGT